ATTTATTATGAATTAGCACGTTATAATTGTTTGGACTCAAAAAAAGTTATTTATGACGAGAAATCTTTCAAGTGGACGCTTAATGAAGATGCAATGGCTTCTGAAAAATTTTCTGAAGGCATTAGACTATTTGCTAAAGATAGTAGAACCTTGATGCTTATGTTAAAACAACGTTTGAATAATGATGATGCTATTGCTAATGGAAATATTGAATTATTCTCGGGGCCTTTTCATGAGGTTAAAGTATCTAGTTAAATTGGGATTAATATAGAAAAATCTACAGTATTTATTTATTTTTTATCCATTTATTTATTATCTAATTGTTTTTATTCACTTATTTTTTTATCCACTTGTTTTTTATCCACTTGTTTTTTATCCACTTGTTTTTTATCCATTTATTTTTTATCTACTTGATTTTATCCACTTATTTTTTTATCTTATCCATTTATTTTTTATCTACTTATAAATTGCGGAATAAAGACTTGTATTTTTAAACTATATACAGTTAATGTTACTTTAAACTATTATTGTAGATGTGTATCTACAAGTACGTACAGTACATCTACTGTATATATATCCTTTTTAGGGGTTTAGAAGGAAATTTTTCATGTTGATCCCTGAAAAGGACATACGTACGTACGTATGTACAATGATGTATGTTACACTGGGGTTGTCGATCATGTATGTAGATCAAATATATGTATTGATACATAGATCTACCTAATTTTATTTTTATCATTATCATTATCATTATATGTATATTGTATAGAGAATTTTTTACATTCTTTATTATTTATATACATTTACTTTTATAATAGACCCTGAGTCTGAAATAATTCTAAAATGTTTAGTTGCTTCTTCTTCCCCATGTATTTCATGTATTTCTACATTATCTTGTAAAGTTTCTTGCAATTGCCTTTTACATTTTGCATGAACTTCTAAAAGTTCTAAAGCAATATTTTCTTTACTTATATTTCTAGATGAAAGTTTTAATTTTGACTGTTTCAGATTTTGTGCCATATTCGGATGAGTTTTCAAGTCCAATTTATTAAAAAGTCCTTCAACTTGTTGTTGATGGACTACAATAAAATAAATTCATTCTTTAACAAATTTATATAATAATGGGTATTTATAGATTAAGTACATTTATTCCTCACCCGGGGTGAGATTTGATATTGCTTACCCCTCTATAACAAAATTTGAAAAAATGCCAATATCTCAAAATTTTACTAAGGTAACCCTGTCATATAATATAAGCAAAAATGTTCTTTTCACAATTTTACCTTAGGCTAACCCTAACCCTAACCTTAATTTTAATTCTAATATATTAACATAACTGGGATTCCCTTTTGTACTTAAAGGAAGTGAATAACTCACCCGGGTGTTGAATAAATTATTTCTTATAAGTTTTACAATTTAGATCAGGACAAAATTTTTGAAATTTAACCCTAAATTCAGAACAATTTAATAATTCTTCTTGCAGATCAAAGGTATTATTAGTTATTTCAAAATCACCATTTAATTGTTGTGCAAAGTAAATTTCATATTCAATTAGTTCTGAAAATTATAATGATTTCAAAATTATATAGTAAAATGCTCGCATGAATTCATGGCCAGAATTTTCACCCTAATGGCAGATTGATAATGGTAAGTGCACCCATGAAGACATCATTTTAAAAAATTTTCATATGCTTTATTTACACCTTTCTCTAAACTATTAAAGAGCTTACTAAATTTTCATTATTTAGAAATTCTAATGCTATTAGTAATTCATCTCCAAAAAATGAGCTAAAATTTTCTTTAAGATCATTTAAATAATTAACCCACTCATTCACTTTTATTAGACATATTATGGACACGACGACTAGTGGAAGTTAAACTAGATTATTATCTAGTTAGATAAGAAGTATTTTGTTTTTTTCAGCCATAAATTGCATTAATAGCTTGTAAAAGTATTTTCCAAGTTTAATACTATACTGAACTTGAATATTTAATTTTTTCTAGAAGTTAATCTCAGAATAATGCCAGTCTGAAAGATATAACTCTAGTGTGTTATAGTTATTTTCGAATGTTTGAATGAACCAATTGGCAAATTCTATGTATGCCTTATGCTGCTCTAAATATTGTCTAGCAGTATGTAGCTTATAGCTCTAGTGTCCTCTAATTGGCATTTAGTACTGTGAAAAATAGTATTCTAATAACTTATTATATAATTGTTTTATCTATTCAGATCTTATATTAAGAGGTTTATCTTTGTTGCTTGAGATATAGATACCATACTAAATATAACAAGTTAAATAGTTGTGGCTTTTTGGAAAACCCAATTGAAGAAGGTAATTTTCTGAATGCTATTTCTTCAAAATGCGTTAAAACTATATGCATTATATATATTCTGCAGCCAATTCTTATTGTATTTACATTGGTTTGTTTATTAAATAGAACTATTGTACCTTTTTGGTTGCCAGACATATATGCTATATTATTAGTTATCCAAGCTAAACATTTTTTTGGATCAAGCCTATAGTTTATAATTTTATTAAGAAAATTTTCTGTTACAGATTTGCTAATACAGCTTTGCAAATCTAAAAGGTTGTTATAGCAACTGATAGTATATTTTTACTATTTTTCCAGAATATAATACACAAAATGAAGTTTTTAACTTCCTCACAGGTTGATTCATCAATAAGAATTTCAAATTTTGAGCATTGGGTAATCTAATCTATCACAAATTCAGTTTTAATTTGTGAAACTTCTTGATGTCAGATACATAACATAGATCTTGACAATCATTTTTGTAAAGGCTCACTGATTAAAAATCATAAATGAGATGCAATAGTTCTATGGTTGCATTTAATAAGGCTTGTCCAATTTGTGAAATTTTGGTTGAAAGCCAAACTATTTGAGACAAATATTTGCTATTATTTGTTTTAAACAATGCTTTAATTTGATACTTGAATTCTTTATTAGGTATTTGCTTTTGTTTGCATATTAGTGATCTGATAGTTGAAACCTGCTTAACAATTGTATTTTTAAGATGTCGAATTGAATTGCTTATAGATTAAACCTTATGTGCTAGATTTTGATTAGTTTTTGATAGTTTGTAGTTTATAGATTTTAGTCTTATATTCTCAACTTTTAAAGATTCAACTTGTTTTTATATTTATCTGTAATATATTTAAGAGCTTTCTTTTGAAGCTAAATTGAAATTATTTCATTTTTATATTTTTCTTTTAGATTTCGTATTAAATCAATTTGCTTTAATGCTTTATTTTTTATAGTTTTTGTAATTTATAAATCGTATAAAATATTTTTTCTTCTTTTATATGATTTACAATATTAGTAAGAATTTGGCAAATCTTTAGAAGAAATTCTAGATCAAGTTGAGATATAATTTTATAAATTTGTTGTATTTTATTTTGTTGAGACCACATATAGGTCATGTGGCATTTTTGCTTTAATGCTTATGGCATGTTATAAGAAAAATAATTGATTTACTAATACTATGTTTTAAAAAAAAAAGAAAAATTCATTTTATTTAGTTTTTAATAATGAATTTATTGGATACAATTCATAACAAACATAATCTTCTGGATATATAATTCTAAGATATTACTTTTTAGCAAAACAAATACGTTAATGTTTAAACATTTTATTTAAAATCACTTTGTATTTCAAATTAGCATTTTAAGCTGAAAGACAATAAATGATTAACTGACCAAATAATCAAGGAAGACAATAAATGACTAACTGCCAAATAATCAAGAAAGACAATAAACAACTAACCAACCAAATAATTAAAAAAAATAATGACTGAACTTAGCCAATAATTTTAATTCAGCTGACAAGGTAGTTAAATTTGATTAAACTCTAAATGGCTTATTACTACTTTGCTTTTGTTTATTAACAATTAAATGTTTATTTTAAATGCACAATTGTATGCATGAATAACAAGTTTTTGATATCTAATTGAAGCATTACTTTGTCATCAAAATTTTATTGTTATAGTTTTAGTAATTCGAGTTTTTAAGCATCAATTGATTGAATTTAGACTATTACTAGAGTAATTACACTTTTATTTAGATTTTTAAGTATTAATTGATTAAAATACATGAATTTGACTATTACAGTTTGGGTAATTGGCTTTTGTTCAAGCAGCAATTGCTTAAAATATATAAATTAGACTATTACAGATTTGATAATTGGGTTTTGTTTAGATCTTTAAGCATCAATCAATTAAACCACATAAATTAGACTATTACAGTTTAGATAATTGGCTTTTGTTCGAATTTTAAGCATAATTTTTTAAAATATATAAATTAGACTACTATGGTTTGGGTAATTAACTTTTGTTCAAGCATCATTTTTTTAAAATACATAAATTAAACTATTATAGTTTGGGCAATTAGCTTTTGTTTAATACATTTTATTTACTAAATTGAAGCTTCAAATATTATAAGTAGCAATGTTAAGGTATAAATTTCTAATGTAATTAGAGTGTTGGCAGAAGAGGCTGTTAATGAGATTGTTGTTTGCAGATATAGAGGCTAAAGTATATAAACTTGGAGTATTGTAGTTAGGATATTGTAAAAATAAAATCAGGTCTATAGGAAGATGTTCAGATTTATCTGAATTTGGTTCAGAAAATATTGGCAATAGTGTAGGTATTGTGTATAAAGTGTTTTCTGAAATTTCTATTGAGTTAAATACATTATGTTTAAGTATTTTTTTTGGTTTTAATAGGCAGGTCTAAATATTTAATTATTAAAAATTGTTCAATTAAAGTGTAGTTTGAGAACAGACGTTGGTTGTGAGGTAAGTATATATGCACTTTATTAGAGAAATAATTAATTGAAAGAGTAATATTGTTATTAAATTTTTGGTTTTTTAAGTAGTTTTAAGTGTTTAGTTATGAGGTAGAAATAGTAGATTGTAAAAAGAAAGAAATATGTTGTAGCAAGAGTTGAAGTCACAGGATTCTAAAGATATTGAGTGTGACTTCAATAGTGTTTCTTCTACAGAATCATTCAATGTTTTAAGCTCAGTTCTCACAGCTGTGCAGGATTTCATAGTTTGCCTTATACATTAGATCTAACTGATATATAAATAGTTCTCTGCATAAATAGGCTTTACTACCTGTCCACTTATATCATTCTCTTTATTAAATATAGCAGATATATCAGTTAATAAAGTAGCAGCTCCATCAATAGAGTTTGTAGAAGAGATTGAGGAGTGTTGGATAGAAGTGTTTTACATAG